GGGGGGTTCACATTCATTGTTTAGTTATTTGAGCCCCACGCACAGACAATAACCCCATCCAGTAGCAAGAAAAGATGGAAAAGCTTCTTCTTACACAGAGGAAATGGTCTAAAAAAAGTTGAGAAGAATCGCATTGTTTTGGCCGTCTGCTGCTTTCTACCCGCAGATGTCAGTCGTTCAAACTCATTTACTATTCGGTTCTCTTTGTAATAGATGCATTACGTACATTTTTTATTCTAAATAATTTAGAAAAATAGTCCTAAAAACAAACAATAAGCATACGTAGCGAGTACAGTCTTGTAAATCCATGCAACACGGTTTTTTTTTTTTTACTCTAATTTCTAATTTCGTTTCCAAAGATGTGCCCTGTTTGTTTGTAGTAGCTAATTTGGCAACTGATGTGCTTTAAAAAGACTAGTGCATGAACTGAACATTAATTTCTAAATAAATAAAACTTTTTCCATTTTCCTAAGCGATGTCCTTTGAATATAGGCTATTCCAAACAAACAAGAACGCCTAGGACTTTCTTATTATTCCGGCTTCGGGTTCGCCCCTCCTCTTTTCCGAGCTCATTCATACTGTGGGTCCCTGCAGCATCATCGCCGTCTCCTGCTCTTAACCGGGCACGATCCATCCTCAGCAGTTACAGCACATAACCTCTTCAGAGCATCTTGTGGATGGTTCAACTCCTACCCCGAGTGGCTTTATATCAGCAGACGTTGTTCGGGCAGTGAATGGTGCTCCTGCGGAACAGGTGAGCGACAGGTAATGCGCGAGCGTGCAGTTTGAATGGATCTCGAAGAAGGGCGAATATACGCCAAGACAGCACGTTTCCGAAAAACTTAGAAGAAGAAGCACGGAGTAGCTAACTCACGGACTATTTCGGAGAATCTCGGTATTGTAAAAAACTGGGGAAATCGTCACATCTACTGAGTGCTACGCAGAATTGTGGATTTGCACAGGAGGTTGCCTTGTCATTGCAAACTTGTTGTAAATGTTTGGGAGCCAAGATCACCCGACTGGAAACATCACTGGGTTTAAAGTGGGAAGTTTTGAAGAAGAAATGGATCCTGTTCGTTCTTGGGTGCGGAATGTCGGCGTTATTGACGCAAACATAGCGGCACAGAGGTAGGCTGTTCTGCACGGATGCACACTCAATTCTTTTAATTAGTTGAAGTCTTTACATGCATGTAAAAACACCACCTAAAGAAAAAAAATTCTAAATTATTAACTGTCCAGTCCTCTGATTATAGCCGAAACAGCACACGACACAGATGTTAAACTATTTATTTACCATCCAAAATAACAGAGCATAAATTTAGGATTAAAATAAGTATCAGTCTAAACGAGTTGTCGAAATATTTCTCTTCAATAACACGTGCGTTATTATTTTTTATATGTAGGCTATATTATATATTATTAAGTAGGCTACAGTAGTAGTATTCTATTCTATTAGGCTACTACTTAACTGTAAGAGTATCTTTTGTTTTCTATAGCATTGCAAAAATAACTAGCAACAGGTCAGCTCTTCTGCTTCAGAGCTCGGTCTTCAATAGCTGGAGGTGACAGAGTCACGAGCGAGTGAAAGAGACACACAACACAGCAACACAGCACAGCACAACACAACACACAACACAGCACAGCACAACACAACACACAACACAGCACAGCACAACACAACACACAACACAGCACAGCACAACACAACACAACACAACACAACACAACACAACACA